AGACAACCTCCAACACACACACACACACACACACACACACCCGGCGCAACCACCAGCAGCACAACTTTCTCGTTGCGGCCAGAACGAATAAGTTTGCGAGTCTCGCTAGCGCGATTTATCGCCGTGTCCATTTTCAACACTCGGTTTTCAAGAGCCACCGCCCGCGCGATGAGCGCAAGAAGAAAACAACGCAAACTGGATTTTAGAGCGGGCCCACGAGGCTGAGGCCGGGAATGCCGTCCTGTTGATCTGAACTCCGTGTATATGTGCGTGCATAAATATAATACAAATACACATGTACACGTACATATCTACGCGCACGGGAACCACGCGCGCGCTACGCGCGCTGAGGTTCCAGTCGTAGCTCGGCCATGACTCGCAATCTCGCTCGTGCCATGGGCGACGTTCCGAACGTTCCCGGAAGTGGGCTTCGCGGGGCATCCGTCCGCGGCGGAGGCTGGGAGGGCAGCGCGGCACGCGAGCCGCTCCCAGGCGGAAGGGGGGCACGGCGGGAAGCGCCGCCGGCCCCGGCAGACGACGACGGGGCCGCGGACCGACTGGCGTGCCATCGCGGGCGGGCCCCTCTGGCGCGCATGCCGCCGAGGCCGCGCAACCGACGTCCACGGGAACTGCTACGGGAAGCACGCCCGTCATGCCTCCCGCGGGCGTGGCGTGCCCGCGCCAGGGATGCCGCGTCGCGTCGTTTCTGGCGCTCGCTGTGCCGGTCGGCGAATCGGCGCTGAGCTTTGTCACGCTCTTCGGCGCCCGGACTGCTCCCCGTTCGAGATCGCGGAGATTTCGGGCTGGCGCGTTGCTCGCTCCCCCGAACTACCTGCATCGCAGTGTCGGGAGTACTCCAGTGTGTTGTACAGTTTTGAGATTAGACGCGTGAATGTTGTCTCTCACTTTGCTATCGGGATTTCTCGGCTGGAGGAACACAAGCGTCGCCGTGGGTTTCACCAGCGTGATATCCCACGGTCCGTGGAGCAACCACAGTCTCGCAGTTGAGCTTGTTTTTCTGACTTCTTCGTCGCGACGCTCGGCCACAAAGACGTGGCGTCCGTGGCGCTCAAGAGGAAGGTGTGCTTAATGACGCCGTCATCCAGCTATTATTGAATCGTTTCGCTCATTCCGCCGGCCCGTGATATGGCATCGCTGGTTTTTGTCTGTGTGTTCGTTGCCCATGTTGCGCTCTTGGGGGCGGGGGTCGTTCGGACGCGTTGCGTGGGGAGTTTTGATGGTGAAGCAGTTCCCTGGGGGTCGTCTCTCGATGGGGCGAAATAGAGTCGTCGTCAAGATGCTTCTTTGGGGGGCCTCTTGGGGTCTGTTGAGAGGCCGTTCGGGGGCGCCTGGGAGACATGTTTGAAGCCTTCTGGGGCTTCTTTTGGGCCTCCTGGGAGTCTCCTGGGGCCTCTTGGCGACATCTTGGGGCCTCTTGGAGGCCTCTTGGGGCCTCTTTGGGACCTCCTGGGCGCCTTCTGGGACGGAGGGCTCCATTTTTGAGTTCTCGGTATCCCTCCTGAGTCCCTCTTGGGCCCGTCTTGGGGCCTCTTGGTCCGTCTTGGGCGGCACTTGGGCCGTCTTGAGGGCTCTCTTGGGTCGTTTCGGCGCCGTCTTGGGAGCTTCGTGGGCCGTCTTGGAGCGGTCTTGGGGGCCTCTTGGGCCGTCTTGGAGCGTCCGGAAGCCGAAAAAGCCAGAACACAAAAAACATCGAAAAAACCAATGAAAATCAACGATTTTGGCCTCTTGGGGCTCTCTTCGGAGGCCTCTTGGAAGGCTCTTGGGGCGTCTTGGAGGCCTCTTGGGCTGTCTTGGGGGCCTTTTGGGCCGTCTTGGGGTCATCTTCGGCGTCTTCGAGCGCTCTTTGGGCGTCTCGGGGGCCTCTTGGGCAGTCTTGGGGGCCTCTTGGGGCACTCTGAGCGCGCTCTGGGGAGCCTGAGAGGCCGCACCCAGAAGGAAAACCATCTCTGAGTAGACTTGGTCGGGCGGCGACCGGGCGTTGGTCGGGGTACTTTTCGCCGGGGGACCCCCAGGGGCCGCCCCGCGCGCGCGAACTAGAAATACTGTTAATACTGTTAACCAGTTACCGGAGATCTTAGCACGCCCTGGCCCGTTGGGCCGGCGAATTATGTTTTCCTGCGTGGATATCTCTTTCCTCTCTCCCTGCTCCCTCATTGCTCCTCTGTGGTCCTCGCGCTCCTTTTCCTCCTCCTCCTCCCCTCCACTGTTCCCTCTATGCCACCCTCCTCCCCTGCTCCCGCTGTCCCCCACATCGCTCGCATCATCCCCTGCTCCCCCTGTGCCGGCATTTTGGATGTCTCGTGGGAATCTCTCGACGGCCTCTTGGAGGCGTCGTGACAGCCTTCTGTGGAGCCTAGGGGGGCCTGTGTGGGCCCTCGTGGAAGCCTCCTCCCTTTTCCTCCCTCTTTCCATCTGCTCCTCCCCATCTCGCGTCCTCCTCCTACTCCCTTTTCCTCCTCCTCCGCCACGACCTCCTCCTCTCTCCTCTTCCTCCTGCCTCCTCCTTGTCCCTATACCTTCCGGTCCCCCTCCTGCTCCTGTTCGTTCTCCTCTTCGGCCTAAAGGGGGGCCCAAGAGGGCCAACGATCGCTACAAAGAGGGCACAAAGAGAGGCCAAGAGTGAGACCACAAACCGAAAATCTGATTTTTCTGCCCGAAGAGGCCCCCCCCAAAAAACCTAAGAAGCCCACAAGCGGCCCAAAAAAGGCCCCCATTAAGTCACAAGAGGTCCGCCAAGACGCTTCACAACTGCCTCAAAGAGATTCAACCAGGCCCCAAAATAGCTCCCAAGACGCCCACAAGAGTCCCCAGATAGTGCCCAAGAAGCCCACGACTCCTCAACTGTCGTTTCCCCACCTCTTCTGTGGGTCGGCGGAATGGCTAAAGCCTCTTGTATCTACTTTCTGGTCTGTTGTACTTGGTCCCAGGGGGACATTCGGTCCAACCCGGCGGCCAACCAGAAAGACTCGGAAAGACGCGAAATATGAGAAACAAACAAGAAACTCGCCTCCAAGCCAGCAACAATTGCTCCAACATGGCCTCCAAGAAGCCTCCAAGACGGCCGATATTGCCCCATGAGAGCAAGAGAGCCCAAGATGGTCCTTGGTCGCCTCCAAGACGGCCCTAAGGCGGCCCAAGATGCCCTCCAGCCCAAGATGCCCCGAGGACGCCCCAAGAGGGCTCAGAGGGCCCCAAGACGGCCCACAAGACCCCAAGAGTCTCCCGAAACGGACCCAGACCTCTAGATGGCCTTCAAGCACCCGAAAAAGGACCGACGACTGTCCAGAGAGGGCCCCAAGACGACCTCCGAAGGCCAAAAGGCCTCTCAGAGACCCCCAAGAGGCCCCGAAAAGGCTTCAGGAGGTTCCGTGAGAAGCTCCAAGAGACCCCCCAGGAAGCTCCGAGGAAACCCCAGGATGTCCACATAAGAGCCTCAAGAGGCCTTCTCTGTTTCTTCCTCCTCCTCATCCCCTCCTCCCCTCATCAGTATCATCATCATCATCATCATCATCATCATCATCATCATCATCATCATCATCATCATCATCATCATCATCATCATCATCAGCATCATCAGCATCATCATCATCATAATCATAATCATAATCATAATAATCATCATCATCATCATCATCATCATCATCATCATCATCATCATGATCATCATGATCATCATGATCATCATGATCATCATCGTCATCGTCATAATCATCAACATCATCATCATCATCAGCATCATCAACATCATCAGCATCAGCATCAGCATCATCATCAGCAGCATCATCGGCAGCAACATCATTATCATCGCCGTCATAAGCATCATCAACATCATCATCGTCGGCAGCATCAGCACCATCATCATCATCATCATCATCATCATCATCATCAGCATCATCACCATCATCATTCGCATCATCAGCATCATTGTCATCGTCATCATCGATAGGTTTACACAAGGGAAGTCGCCAGACCCGCAAGTGCAGGGCGTTTCTCGACCGTACTGTTCCCCTTCCTCGGTTGGCCCACAAGCGGTCGGCGGTCCCCCAGGTGTGCGGCAATTTCTTGTTGTCTGACTCTACGGTGGTGGATGTTCCGTCGGCGTCAGGGGCCGCCCCTCCATATGAGGTGCGGCTTGTAGCTCTAATGGATAGAATTCGTGACAAGGAAGCCTCAGCTCGAGGCCAGTAATTTGAGTGTGAGCTCATCACTTAATCCTGTGCACTTTCCCCGCCAAGACATTCCATTACATTCCATTCTTACTATCCTAAGTGTTCCCCCCAAGGGGTTCCGCAAGGGCTGGGGGAACACATATTCTAATAGCTCAAGGCTTCGACCCAAAGCTTGACCGCGTGGGGCGTGTTTTTTTGCTTGTTTTTGCTGAGGCAAGGGAACGCAGTGATTCGCCGCAGGCGTCTTCGATATACGGGAGCGAGAGAGAGAGAGAGAGACAGAGAGAGAGAAGGAAGGTCGAGAAAAAGAGAGAGAGAGAGAGAGGAGGTCGAGAAAGAGAGAGAGAGAGAGAACAACAAAAAAAAAAAACATAAAGAGAGACAGGGGCGAACCGGGACCCTGGACGGGGCCGACGCACGCGCAGAGGCGAGGCCGAAATGCCGACGACCAGAGGAGGTCCCCCGCCATGCGGTGGGGCGGCGGGCGGCACTGCCGCGGCGCGCGGAGTTGGAAGCGGCTGGGGGAGGAGGAGGAGGAGGACACCCTCCCCCTCCAACTTATCGTGGTGGTGGTGGAAACCAGACCCATCAGGCGGGACGAGGGCCAATCCGCTCAGAGTTGGTCTTCGGACTCCTCCCAGGGTCGAAACGGACCAGCCTCTGACGCCGCGTCCAGCCAGGGCTGCGCAGGGGCCCCCTTCCTCCCCCCTCTCCGCTGGCCGGAGCCGGCGCTGGGCCACCTCCGCCCCCCAGCCGGCTCCAAGCCAAGACACTCACATCTTCCGCATGCGGGCGAAGTTCCAGCACGGCTCACAGAGGCGTACCTGCTCCTGGCGGAGTGGGCTGACGACTGCAACGAAGAAGCGGGGCGGAGGTTGACGAAGAGCGGCAACGTCGTCGAAGACGACGACGACGCCGACGACGACGACGACAACGACAGCGACGCAGACGACGACGCCGACGATGACGACAACAACGACGACTACACGGACGACGGACGGCGTCGACGGACGATGGATGGCGGAGGCAGCGGGTAAGGCAACGGCGACGACGATTACGACGACGACCGACGAGGACGACGGACGACAGACGACGACTGACGAGGACGACGAGCGACAGACGACGACGACGACGACGACGACGACGACGACAACGACGTCGAACGACGGCTGACCATAGACGGCGACGAGGCCCTGGGACAGCCAGCCACGAGCTTCACCCTCCCCCCTTCAGGGGGTGGAGAGAAGGAAGGAGCGGGGCCCCCATGGCCGACTGTGACGGACAGCGCGGTGACCTCCCCGAGTCCCCAGCGACCTCACCGCAAGGTCCGTCGCCACACGGTGGTTCGGGGACCCTCTGGAGGCCCCAATCGTCCGAGACGCCCCCTCGGAGATCGGCCCACGGCCCCAGAACCGTGAGAATACCCACTGACTCAGCACACGGTGCGACGGTAGGGGAACACAATTGCTGAGCACTCCTCCGCTCCCCCAAACGCGCGGGGGAGACTGCAGTCGAAGTAGAACTCATCAGATCCACTGTCAACTTTGAACATTGGGGGGGGGGAGGGGGAGGCGTTGACCGACGAATGTGGCATGCGTGTTCGCTGGAGGCCTGGATCTCCGCACCGTTTGGGGGGGGCCGTGGTTTTCGGGCCTTAACTCGGCTCCCCAACGGCCGACGGGGACGAGTGCGGCACCTCCAGAATGCCCCCGACCAGGCGCCTTCCAGAATGCCATGACCAGGCGCAGCTGATGGACCGCACCCAGGGTCCCGAAAACGTCCAACAACTGTGGACAACTTGTGCAAAACTCAACACACATCAAGCGAACCATCAAAGAGGGGGAGCTGCTTGCAGGCATCCCGAGGTAACATAAACCCATAACTCCAGGAAGACCTTCGGCTACACGAGAGAGCGGCCCTGTGTAATAAGAGAACCTTCGGTGTGCGCCTTTTTGGGTGCCGCGAAGGGGGCGGGAGCAAACACAAGAGCGCTGGACGCCACCACGGCCTCGAGTTCGGCGATCGGGGACCTCAGGGGGGCCCTGTACCAAAGGTCACTCCGGCGAAGGGTCATTCTGACGTGATAGTCGTCGAGTAGGGGATCGACTACAGAATTGATTTGCCCCAGAATTGATTTTTCTTGTCGACTCCACGGGCAGTTCGTAGAACTTTCGCAGATCTACGAAATGGTTGGCGTATTTTTGTTGAAGAGTCCACGTGAAAATCAATTTTGGGGTAAATCAATTCTGTAGTCGATCCCCCAGTCGAAGTCGAGACCTACGGGAGCGGCGCCAAACGCTGCTCGTCGCTGTTCCATGCGGTGAAGGTCTGTGTCTGGGTGCCCCAGCGGGCGGCTCCCGGCGGGCGCGGGGCCCGCGACGTCCCGAAGATCCCAAGAAACTCCCAAGAGGTCCGAAGAGGCCCCCCCGAGAGGCTCCCCCAAGAGGCCCCAAAACGGCGCCCAAGAGGCCTCAACACTGCCTCCGAGAGGCCCCCGAGAGGCCTCCCACGAGATCCCAGCCAACACCCACCTGGCTTTGAATCCCCACAGCCCCGGCGCGGTGGCGCGACTTGCCGTGGGCAGCTGGATGCGTTGAACGCAAGCTTCTGGGTGCCCCAGCGGGCGGCTCGGCGGGCGCGGGACCCTGGTGATGTGCCGACCGCTCCCCCGGGGGGGAGCCCCTCGTCCCGCATCCATTGTGGACTGCCCAGGCAGGCGAGCCCAGATTCGAATCGAAACGTCGGATCGGCGATCCAAAGGAATCGGATCGGCGGAAATCGGCAGCCAAGTCGGGAGAAGGGTTCGGCGGAAATCAGCAGGCTAGAGGCCTCGAATGAGAAACGGGAACCCGGATCGGAACCCGAACTCGAAGTGAATCGGAATCGGAAGCCACCAACATCGCATCGAAGCGAATCGGAGGAACCGAAATGAGCCCTGCCCAGGGGCCCGATAACGAGCTCCAGAAGCCGAAATCGAGGACAAACCGCGGGGGCTAAAAAATCAAATCGTCGGAGATGTGGCAACGTGACCCCCCCCCAGAGGTCTCGACCCGTTCCCTGGACCCAGCTTTTCATTCCGAGCTACTGTTTGACGCCGGTCCCAAGGTCTCGGCGACGGCCTTAGCAAGCCGAAAACGGCCGACACATCTTCTGTCGTGAATCTTGGTCTGCGACGTCAGCATGTCAAGGATCGGGGTTGAACGTCAAGGGAAATCAGATTGTCATAGAGGATCAAACTGAGACTTGTACAACACTCTCGAAACTCTGCGCGGATTTCTTGGATCGGCGCTGGACCCCCTTCCCTAGCGAAGACGAAGCCAGGACGAGCATCTTCTCGGGTGAGGACAAATCGAGAAGCTCTGAGATCCGGCGGCTCTGGAGGACGCCTCGGGCGCCGCGGCCTTCTCAGAGCGTCCCTGAACGCTCTGAGAGCGCTCCAGAACGCTCTGGAACAGGTTGATCCTGGTCCTTGCCCCGTCCGCTTTAGAGCGCACGGAGCGCGCCACGGCGGCGCCGGAGGCGCCAGAGGCCGGGCGCAGATCCGAGAGATCCGCGCGGAGCCCCGAAAGTTTGCATGTCTGCCTTCTACGATGTCGGAGGTCTGGGCCCCGGGGGGCCCTGACGGGCGGCAACGGCTGAGGGGCAACGCCAGGGGGGGGGACCAGCATAGGGGGGCAAGACATCGACCCAGACTCGGCGATGCGTCGTCGATGGATCGGCGATGGGCCCCCGATAACAGGGCAGGTTCGTTAGCGAATCCGCTTGATCCTGGGCAGGTTGGGGCTCGAGCCCCCATCGGTGATGGATGTGCGACCGGGGGTCGATGCGTCCTCCCCTGTGCCAGTTCCCCCCTGGTGCTGCTCCCTGAGGTGTTCGGGCCACAGCTCGGCTGGCCAGCGGCCGCTCGGGACGATCCGGGCACCCCCAGAACGCCCTCGGCCAGGCGCAGCTGCTGGAGAGAGCACCCCGAGGCAAGAAAGCCGCCGAGAACCAACGAAAAGGGTCGAAAACCCGATCGCTGCCGCCCCTGAAGGTCGCGACGCTTCCCCCAAGGCCAGCGTCTCGTCCCAGATCGATGTTCGACAGTCCCGATCGTCTGTCCCCCGCAAAGCCCCCGATAGCGAATCCGAACGTTCCTGGGTGGGCACGCTGGAGCTGTCGGGCCCCTATCGGCGATGAATGGGCGACAATAGGAGGAGGAGGAGGAGGAGGAGGAGGAGGAGGAGGAGGAGGAGGAGGAGGAGGAGGAGGAGGAGGAGGAGGAGGAGGAGGAGGAGAAGCAGGGGCGGAGGAGGAGGAGGAGGCGAGGAGGGAGGAGGAGGAGGAGAAGGAGGAGGAGGAAGAGGAGAAGGAGGAGGAGGAGGAGAGAAGGAGGAGGAGGAGGAGGAGAATGAGGAGGAGGAAGAGGAGGAGCGGAGCGAGGAGGAGGATGAGGAGGAGGAGGAGAAGGAGGGGAGGAGAGGAGGAGGAGGAGGAGGGAGGAGGGAGGAGGAGAGGAGGAAGAGGAGGCGAGGAGGAGGAAGGAGGAGGAGAGGAGGAGGAGGAAGGAGGAGGAGCAGGAGGAGGAAGAGGAGGAGGAGGGAAGAAGAGAAAGAGGAGGAGCAGGAGGAGGGAGGAGCCGACGTTCCCCTTCTTCTCCGTCTCCCCCCCCCCTATCGCTGCCCCTGGATGGCGAGCGCGAGGCCTCGTAGCACCGGCTGGCCGGGCCCCGCGCCGTCTGCGGCGCCCGCGGGCTGGTGCCCGGGCGCCCCCGCGGCGAGGAGGAGGTCCGCTGGCCCACCAGTGGCGGGCGGGCGGGCGGGCGGGAGAGCAGGGGGAGAGGAGGAGGGGGGAGGGAGGAGGGGGAGGGAGGAGGGGGGATAGGAGGAGGGAGGAGAGAGAGGAGGGGGAGGAGGAGGGATGAGGGGAGGAGGGAGGGATAGAGAGGGGGGGAGGAGGAGAAGGAGAGAGGAGGCTGAGGAGAGGAGAGGCGGGGAGGGGAGGACGAGGATGCAGCCGAGGATGTGCCTTTTCCACCTACGGGTCTCAGAGGCCTCGGAACCCGGAGGGTGAGGAGAAGGACTCGAGGAGGAGGAGGAGGAGGAGGAGGAGGAAGAGGAGGAGGAGCAGGAGGAGGAGGAGGAGACGAGGAGGCGGAGAAGGAGGAGGCGGAGAAGATATGAGCAGGAGGTCCGCGCACGAATGTACTGGGCAGCCGAGTCGCGGTAGTATCGGGCTCCGTGCCCGAGCGGGTGAGATGCCCGGCAGAATCGAGGGCATGCCAATGGACGGGATGTCTGAGGAAGACCGGGGTGTGGGGGGGGAACGGAGGAGAGGGAATGGGGGCAGGAATCCTAAAATAGACTGAATGTGTCCGCAACATCGAACATCGAGGGTCTGCGGGGGAAGAGGAGGGGGCAGGAGAAGGAGTGAGAGGAAGGATGGGGGAGAGGGATGAATGGGAGGATAGGGGGGAGGGGGAGGCTGAGCAGAAGGAGCAGGGAGAAGGATCAGGAGTAAAAGGGGGAGGAGAAAGAGGACGGGGGAGATGAGAGAGTGGAATAGGGGAAAGGATAATGAGAAAGGAACATGGATGGCGTGGGGGCCGCCTGGAAACCGAGTGGGAGGGTCTCTTTAGGGGCCTCTAGGGGCATTCGGATACCACCTTTCAAAAAAGGATACCAGTACCGCCACTCCCTGGACCTCTCACGAAGTCCGACGTTACGCCAAAAAACAACATCGGAACAAAACCTACACCGGAGCCCTACACCCCATCTATCTGCGGTTGGTTGAAATCGGGAGATCTCTGAGATCTGGCGGATCAGCAAGATAGAACTGTCGGGAGCCGCGACCTTCTCAGAGCGTTCCCGAAAGCTCAGAGAGCTATCCTGGAAGCTCTGCAACAATTCTGTCACCGCCCGAAGGATGTTGGTATCTTTCCCTGTGGTCCTCGTCTTGAGGGCCTCTCTGGGCCGCCGGAGGATCCGAGCGCCGTCGGGGAGGACCCGCCGCAGCGGATCGGCCGGGAATCGGAGATACATCGCGGATAGGTCGGAGATAGATAGGCACCCGATAACGCATCTGGACGTTCCTGGGCTGGGCGGGCTATCGGGTCCCCATCGGCGATGAATGGGCGACTGATGGTCGACACATCCCTCCCTGAGCCCCCCGAATGTTGCCCCTGATGGGCCCCTCGGTACCAAAGACCGTCGGGGACGTTCTGCGCGTTCTGGGCCAGCCGAGCGTGCAGACAAGAGGGAACGAAGAGAAGGCAGGTGTCTTCAGCCCAAGCTGAAGGTGCCCCCGACCCGTCACCACCTCCAAACGGAGGGCGGCGAGGGGAAGCCGCAAGCGGCTGGGTGGGTGTCGGGCCAGAAGGCGTCTGCTAGGGCGATTTGGGGACGATGCGTCCCCCTGAGCCCACCCCCCCTGACGTTGCTTCCGGGTTCTCGGGCCAGGGCGAGGACCCGGGCACCCACAGAACGCACTCGGCTCGGCGCAGCTGCCAGAATGCATCCCGAAGCTGCAAAACCGCCTCGAACCGACGACCCGAAAAACCCGAACCCTCGGAAGCCCGAAATGGCTACGGAAAACATTGGTACGACGCCCAACAACAAACGTTGTCCAAGACCGACAGTGGCCGCTGCTGGGCAGCCGACTTTCTGTCTCGAATGGACAACGTCCGCGGCGACGCCGACAGCGAACCTGGTTCGAAATCGACAGGACCTGCTGTCGGTCTTCGGACCCATCCTTTCCGTATTCATTTCGATCGTATCGGGCAGGGCTAGGGCGAAGATAATTCTGTTCCAGAGCGTTCCAGAACCCTCTCAGAGCGTTCCCGGACGCTCCGAGAAAGCCTCTGCGCCCGATACGTCCTCCAGAACCGCCAGAGCGAAGTCCAGGCGGAGTGAGCCCAGACGGAGACCGAGCACTCCGCATGGACCTGCTCCGTATACACGCTGCCAAGAGAAGCCAAACTCCAGACGGAGCAAGTCACACGGAGACCGAGCACCCCGTGTGGAATTACCCGGCGGCGCGCAGAGGGGGCAGGGGGAGGGGGGTCTTGGAGGGAGCCTGCTCTGAGAGGGCGCCGGTCTCACCTCTAGAGATCAGGCCCGCGCCTTCTCAGAAGCAGGGGTGGTTCTAAGAAGCCCTCCTACGCGTGGTTGACTCACAGCCAGCCCGTCTCATGAGGACGCGCGATATGGCTGCAGGGGCCTTGAAAGGCCACGTCGACACTCTGATAGCGGGGCGCGGACAGCGAAAGCGGCCAAGGAGGGGCCGCAGGGCAGGGAGGCTGCGAGATCTGACAAAAATTGACTATATCAGAATCGCTCATCCAGAATCGAGGGGGTAGCCTCAGATTCGCTCATCAATTCCTGTGCGGTTGACCCTACTCCAAGTGGACTCGGCCTCCGCACCGGGACCTCCCCAGGGGACCCGCGGCGGCGGGCCGCGCTCCCCCCCTGCGTCCGACCCGACAGGCGACGACGACGACGACAAAGACAACTGCGACGAAGGCGACGAGGACGACGACGACGACGACGACGACGAGGACGACGACGACGTCGACGAAGGCGACGAGGACGACGACGACGACGACGCCGGCGACGACGACGTCGACGACGGCGACGAGGACGACGACGACGACGACGCCGGCGACGACGACGACGACGGCCGCGGGCGAGGGCCGTCGGCTCCTTTTGGCTCTTCCCATCCCACCGTGGAGCGCCGCATACGAATTACCAGAAGAAGCATAGTAATGGGCATTTTACAGGAAGGGGAGCCGGATCAGGAGGAGGAAGACCAGTGCAAACCCAAGATGCATCAACGATGTTGTAAGGAACCCTCCCTCGGAATTCCCTCTTCACAGGCCGCGGCGGCAGAGGCGAGGAGCCGCGGCGCTGCTCTCCGCCGCGTCGCGGCGCCGCCGCGGCGTGGCGCTGTGCGGCGGGGGCGCCTCGCGAAGGCGGGGCGGGGTGGGGGGGGGCGGTGTGGGCCGCCGCTGCCAGCCGCCGTGCTGCTGCGCCTCCCAGGGAGCTCTCGAGGATCAAGAGGGAGGGTCGAAGGGGAACGAGGGGGGATCGAGGGGGATCGAAGAGGATCCAGGAGGATCGAGGGGGATCGAAGAGGATCGAGGAGGATCGAGGAGCATCGTGGGGGGTCGAGGAGGATCGAGGAGTACAGAGGAGCATCGAGGGGGGTCGAGGAGAATCGAAGAGTATCGAAGGGGATCGAGGAGGATCGAGAACTGAGGATCGAGGAGGATCCAGGGAGGGGCAGCGGAAGGAGCAGCCCCCCTCCCTCAGCCCCCTGTCCTCCCTCCCTATTATTATCCTCAGTGCCCCTTCTCCTGTCGCTTTACCCTCCTCCCTCATGCCTCCATTTCCCGCCTCATTCCCCCGTCCCCCTTTTCCCTCGCCCTCCTCCTCATCCCCCTCCTCCTCCTCCTCCTCCTCCTCCTCCTCCTCCTCCTCCTCCTCCTCCTCCTCCTCCTCATCCTTCTCATCCTCCACCTCCTCCTCCTCCCCCGCCTCCTGAACTATGTTCTGTCCGCGCTCAAGCCTGCGCGCGGCAAAGATGCCATGCGCAGTCTCGAATATCCTCCAGTCCTCTCCCCCCTCCTCCCGTCCCTCATCCGTCCCTCCCCTTCCCCCCCTCCAGTTCCTCCGCCCCGTCGTCCTCCCTCTCTTTTTCCCAACCATCCTGTGGTGTTGGGTCCTCGTTTTGAAGAGACAGCGCCCCGCGTCCTCCCTCCTCCTCCTCCTCCTCCTCCTCCTCCTCCTCCTCCTCCCCCCCCTTCCTCCTCCTGTCACCCATCATCATCACCATCACCGTCATCATCATCGCCGTCATCAGCACCATCACCCCTCACACGTTTCGTGGCCCCATAGGGAACTCCACCGAAAACCCCAGTGCTGCCGGCCGCATGCGGCCCGCACACCTAATTCGGCACACCCCTCACAAGCTTCGTAGCCCCATAGGGAGCTCCACCGCAGGCCACAGCGCTGCCACCGCATGCGTCCCGCACACCCAATTCGGCACACTCTTCACACGCTTCGTGGACCCATAGGGAGCTGCACGGAAGGCCCCACTGCTGCCGGCCGCATGCGTCCCGCACACCGAATTCGGCACACCCCTCACACGCTTCGTGGCCCCATAGGGAGCTCCACCGAAGGCCCCAGTGCCGCCGCCCGCATGGCCCGCATGCGTCCCACCAGTCACACGGTTCGTGGCCCCATAAGGAGCTCCACCACAAGCCCCAGTGCTGCCGGCCGCATGCGTCCCGCACACCCAAGTCGGCACACCCCTCACACGCTTCGTGGCCCCATAGGGAGCTGCACCGAAGGCCCCATTGCTGCTGGCCGCATGCGTCCCGCACACGCAATCCGGCACACCCCTCACACGTTTCGTGGCCCCATAGGGAGCTCCACCGAAGGCCCCAGTGCCGGCGGCCGCATGCGTCCCGAACACCCAAGTCGGCACACCCCTCATACGCTTCGTGGCCCCATATGGAGTTCCACCGAAGGCCCCAGTGCTGCCGGCCGCATGCGTCCCGCACACCCAATCAGGCACACCCCTCGCACGCTTCGTGGCCCCATAGGGAGCTGCATCGAAGGCCCCACTGCCGCTTGCCGCATGCGTCCCGCTCACACAATTCGGCACACCCCTCGCACGTTTCGTGGCCCCGTAGGACCGGCACCGAAAACCCCAGTGCCGCCGCCCGCACGCGCCCCGCACACCCAACTCTCCCCTCACACGCTTCGTGGCCCCATAGGGAGCTCCACCGAAGGCAGGCCCCAGTGCCGCCGCCCGCATGCGTCCCGCATACCCAACTCGGCCACCAACGGCCCCACTGCCGCCGCCCGCATGCGTCCCGCACACCAATTTCGGCACACCTCTCACACGTTTCTTGGTCCATAGGGAGCTGCACCGAAGGCCGCAGTGCCGCCGCCCGCACGCGCCCCGCACACCCCTCACACGTTTCGTGGCCCCATAGGGAGCTGGTGGTGCCGACAGCGTCCCTAGGGCCGATTTCTTCGTCGTCGTCCGTCGTCGACGTCCGACCTGCGCGCGTCGCGGGGGCTCCGCGTAGCGCAGCGCCCGCAGCCTTGAACTTTGGAGTGCGCGGGCAAAGACGAATGAAAAGAAGGGGAGGAAGCGGGCGCGTTCCTCGTGTGGGGCGTGCAAACATGGGCGTCGCGGCGCGCGGGCGCTGCCGTCGGGGTTCCCAGGAAAACTCCTTGCGGAGGCCACGCTCAGTGTCATGAGTTCTCGGAGTCAGGCAGACCCAAACCACTCACAGTCGTATGCATTTACGTTGGGCGACTCCATGCTCGCAGTCATGCAAATAGAATCCATCGCACGCATAGCCATTCAGAATCAGACTCACTCGCGCTTAGACTCGACTGCGCTCAAGCGTTCATGCTCAAACCTATCGTTTTCGCTCGTGTTGTGGACCCTATCACACAATTCGGCACACCCCTCATACGGTTCGTGACCCCATAGGGAGCGCCACCGAAGAATATATTCACAATTGCGGAATTCACAACTGCGTATGGTTGGGTCCGTCGCCAGTCTAACTTTCCAGGAAGATCCCGAAGGCCTCGCGCGGCCACTCGAGACCCAAATCACGTCGCCTCCACGTCGGATTCCGCTCGGATCTGCGCCGCGTTCACGCCGGATTTTTAGGTCCGAACATCGCCGCGCGAAGGACGGGGCGTGAACTCGGGGACCAGATCATGCAAGTGTGGCGCGCCGCGCGGGGCGTCCAGGACTTTCCTCACGGCCCTTTCTTCCTCCCCCCCTCCTCCGCCTCCTCCCCTCTTCCCCACTCCTCTTCCCCCATTATCCTGCTCCTCCTCCTCCTCTTCCTCCTCCTCCTCCTCCTCCTCCTCCTGCTCCTTCTGCTCCTGTAGGCGGCTCTGTCACACCGTGACCTGCCGTCGCGAATCTGCGCCGACCGATCCCTCCTCCCTCCTCCTCCTCCTCCTCCTTCCTCCTCCTCCATCTCCTCCTCTCCTCCTCCTCCTCCTCCTCCTCCTCCTCCTCCTCCTCCTCCTCCTCCTCCTCCTCCCCCCCCTCGTCCTCCGCTTCCTTCCACCTCCTCTTCCTTCCACCTCCTCCCCCCCTCCTCCTCCTCCTCCTCCTCCTCCTCCTCCTCCTCCTCCTCCTCCTCCTCCTCCTCCTCCTCCTCCTCTTCGTCCTCCTCCTCCTCGTCCTCCTCCTCCTTCCCCCATCCAACTTATGGTGGTGGTGAAAAACGGGCCCAGCAAACTTCGGATGAGGACACATCCTGGAGGCGCGACCAAGGGGGCATGGTTCTGAGAAGGATCTCCGCCGGCCCCTGTTGCGGGGCCACCGGGCTGCGAGGGCAAGGACTGCAGCTCCCCGTTCCAGTTGCAGTTTCCAGCTACCCCTTGTTGCAATCCTGCTTCCGGCATCCTTACTGTCAATTGTTGCTGAATGCGCGAGGGGGGGGGCGCCCCAAACCAGCTGTTTTACCAAGCCCAGATCGCGTTGTCTGAATTCCAGGTGGGCGTGGGACATGTAAAAATAAGTGATTGTCGCGTCCCCGAGGCCATTATCCCTCGTACATTACACCATATTCGCGTCCCCGAGGCCATAACACCTTCTTGTGAATTATTCAAGATTCGCGTCCCCGAAACCAAAACCCCTTTGTAAATTAGACAGTATTCGCGTCCCCGAAAACATACATCCGGGTAAATTACACAATGACGGCGTCACCGAGGCAATAAACCAGCGGAAATTAACATGTTCGCGCCCCCGAAACCATACACCTTAGAACATTACTCAATATTCGCGTCCCAAGGGCAATCAACCCTTGTAAATTACACCATGCTTGCGTCCCCGAGGCCACAAACCCTGGCAACTTATTTGATATTCGCGTGCCCTTGTAAATTACACAATATTTGCGCCCCCGAGGCCACAATCCCTTGTAGATTATACAAAAGCTGCGTCCCCGAGGCCACAAACCCTCGTACATTACTCAGTATTCGCGTCCCCGAAGCCACAAACCACTGCACATTACATGTTATTCGCGCCACCGAAACCATACACCCTCCCAAATAAATATTGTCCCTCGCGTGAAGTCCCGACATTGCTTCACGTCAGCGTCCAGACATCCCAACACAGCTCTGCCAAGTCCCTTTCTAACAAGAGGGGGGCTGGCGGCATTGGGACCAAGCCCTTACGGATCTCTCTCTCTCTCTCTCTCTATATATATATATATATTTATAGATACACATGTATACATATGTATGGACATGTGTCTATAATAGTGTGTACCCAAATCTATATGTGTACTATTAAATAGAAATACATATGCACGAAAACACCAACACAGACGTACTTATAGACATACACATGCATATACATATCAATGATATTAAGAGGTAAATCCATCGACCAGTGTAGACATGTACGTATTCGTATATGTACATACATATATATATGTACGCATATATATATATGCATAGCTATAGTTGGCATGCATGTACATGCATATGTGTATACCTGTAAATAAATATATGTTCAAACGGTGAATGAAATATACACACATTTATGTATGGCTAAATATGAATATTTCTGTATGCACATCTGGATATATACATGTGTATATATATATACACAAATACACATGTATCAGGCCACTCCTTCGAAGAAGCAGGCTCCGCCTAAGAAGGCGTCCACCCTCCCCGTACCTCCCTCTGCGCGTGGCCGAACAGCGAGACAACTTTGTAACGTTTGCTTCATCAGGTGAGGATGGTGACCAAGCCTGGGGCTGCTTGGCAGCCCCACGTGCTTGAAGGTGGGCCACCAGCCCACGCTTGTAGTGGGCAGAAGAAGGACGGAGCAATACCTTGGGGTGGCCAACTTCGGTTGAAGATAAATCGAGAATGTCTACGATCTGGCAGCTCCGGAAGATGTCGCGGGCGC